GAAAAATTTGAAAATGGACAAAGGAGAACTATTTTCTGATATACTGGATGTGTATTGCACATCATTATGTATATCGATGTAGCCAAAACGTATGGTTCGAAACTGCCTGTGGCGCTGGGAATATTCCATTTTCTTTGGCCTTTTAACTTCTTTCACCTTTCGAACAGAGGAAGGTCCTCGTCACTTAAATCATTTTCGATGGCACTTTCAGAATCACTGATGATACGATTTCGAAGTCGTGGCATAGTGGTCTATTCTCGTGAACAGTCAAATAGATACTGATTGAAACATCGTACAGACAAGGCTCAGTGTCGTTTACTAAGCAAAATAGTAGCCGTGTGTTTACATGTTCGTGGTAATACACGAATGGCACCGCGGCGCGATATAACACGTCCGTGACCTAATACAGACAGTATCGTCGTCGCGGGATAATACGTCTGTGACCCGATACAAGCAGTATCGTCGTGGCAAGATAATACGTTCAAGAGAACGAAGCGGTTAAACACGGATAAAAAGAGAAACGATTCCGGCCATATAGGCAAATATCGAGAGGAAACTAGCACGACTCAGTAACGCACATTCCAGAGCCGGTAAAGTCACGGATTAAATAGTCTATTTGGGTTCAAACCCATATGCCGCGATAAAATTACCACCTTACCTCGAGACCAGATTGATAAAGAAAGGAATACCGGCAGAATCGAATCAATTTCATACAATCTCAGGGAAGACAAATGAAATTCATCCTATGAACCTCGCCATTTAACTCTCAAATTACTAAACCGTGATATATGTATACCATGTACGCGCCACAACTTATTCCCACCACATAACGAAGAAATATACTATATACTAGCAAGCTCGAGACACAGCTGCATTAAATAGTACTCAAATAGACAAATATTACAAAGTGACTTGAGACCGTGAAACCAGCGTGGAGGTATTTTTTCCCTCGAGGCTCGCTTCCCCTGTTTTTCGCCCGTATTTCGATCCCCACTACTATTCCCCTCATGCGTGCTCATGCGCGTTCGCGAAGCTCTCCGCAGCGCTATGGTCCCCACCATGTTCGCGTCGTCCCCACTTTCCGGCCGAGGGAAAAAATACCTCCACGCTGCTACCAACGTCCTCAAACGTTTGTCGGAATTTGTGCGTCATCAAACGTTTGTCGGAATTTGTGCGTCATCAAACGTTTATCGGAATTTGTTCTCAAGTCGTACGGAAATAATGGATCTCGAAATATCAATTGATATTGAACAGGATATGGAAGATATCGAGAATGGTGAAAATGTGGACGACGTTGAAGATAGCGTGGATGTAAATAGTAATCCAAGGTTAAGAAGGTATATTCGCGATGGACAAAATCCATTCGAACATTACGATGATGCTGAATTCAAAAGACGGTACCGATTCAGTAAAGAGTCGGTATTGTGCGGTATTTTACCGAAAATTATTGACGGCTTGAAGAAAGTGAACAACCGTGGCCTACCAATTGCACCAGAGCTGCAATTACTAATGTGCTTGCGATATTATGCAAGTTCAAGTTTCCAGGTAATTTATAATTTTTATAAGTCACTATTGTATTTTCATGTGTTATTTACGTAGTATTAATGGTTAACGTTTATTGACGTTTAATTAATATTATGTTATGTATAATTAATTTAATGTTCATTGACGAAGTCGTTTACAAACTATTTACAGCAGGTGCTCGGAGACACGATGGGCATCTCGCAGCCCACAGTTTCCAGAATCGTCAACCGAGTCAGCGATTTGCTCGGAAGATTAATATTCGAATACATAAAGTTTCCGAACAGTGATGAGGCACGCCGGGAAAATCGTCGTTTATTCAGAGACCTAGGGCAAGGTAGTGGAGCTATCGGTTTACCCGGAATCGATGGAGCCATCGATTGCACCCATGTCAGATTGACGTGTACGAGGCTGAACGACGTCAATGAAATTTTTAGAAATAGAAAAGGATATTTTTCTCTTAATGTACAAGTACGTTTTCATGCCCTCTTTCTTTTTTCTTTAAAGACTACAACACTCTCATTAAGGAATTGTACGATTGTATTTGTAAATTATGAACTTCGTTACAGGCGGTTGTTGGGCCTAGAATGGAATTCCTGGATCTTGTACCGGAATGGCCAGGCAGTGCGCACGACAGTCGCATCTTCCAAAATTCTAGAGTACATATGCGCTACGCGGAGAGGCAGTTGGATGGGATGCTTGTAGGCGATCGAGGATACCCCTGCTTGCCGTTCTTAATGACTCCGCTCGCAAATCCCAGGACAGATGAAGAAAGAACGTGAGTACCTTGTTGTTTACAACTAACAAGTTTTTCAATACACTTATATTCAATTCAATAGAATAGAATTATATTCATTGACTATGATACACTTGTAGGTATAACAATATCCACACGAGGACTAGACAAATCGTGGAACGGACGTTCGGAGTGTGGAAACGAAGATTCCCATGTTTGTCGAGGGGACTCACAACACAACTCTTGTGCAGCACAACAACTGTGGTGGCATGTGCTGTGCTGCACAACATGTCTCTAATATTCAGGGATATACTCCCTGAGGAAGAGGAAAATGACGTGGACATGACCGAGGAACCACAAGCACCTGCGGTAGAAGAGGAACATGCGTCTGGATTGGCTACTCGCGAGGCGCTAATTAACCACATGTTCAGTTGAATGCGACTATTGTTATATTTAATAAATCTCGTTCTATGTTCAAAACGTATTAGTTATTTAGCCCTCCTTTAAATAATTTCTTTCCGCCCAATACCCTTATTTTTTCAGTGTATACAATTTGTTTTCGTTAATGGAGATAGTACGGTGACGATGATGTACAACTAGTATAATAAAACTATAAGAATACAATAAATTTATTGATGAATCACTTTTTTCTCGTTTCACTACAATCATGGAAAATTTCGACATTTAGTACTTTTACGTCATTACTACACTAATGCAACAGGAAGTGGATTGGAAAATAAGTTATTTACCACGTTTTTTTAATGTAATATTCGTATAATATATTTCACATATTTTAATCCAATATATAATATTTATATAATATTAACACTTACAAATAAATATAAATTAAATACAATATATTTTAATTATTACTGAATTATCACAGCGCAGCTTAAGAAGTTCTGGAGTAACTTAAAAGCGCACCAGAGAGTTGTGCTGACAAAGGAACGCCAGCACGTATTGCGAACGAGAAGTGGACCACCGTTGAGTTCAACGGTGAAACCAGATCCCCCTGTTGTAGTGTTAACACCGGAACTTACGTATACAGCGCCTGTGCTGTAT